GTCGCAGCCACTGTTTCAACTAGACTCCCCTCTACCTGCTCCTTCTCCTTACGCTGAGCAGACAGACTCTTTTACAGAGCGTCGTGAGCCAGAGTCTCGTCCTGCCTCGCCTGTTCGCGCTGTTCACACTGGTCGTCGTGTTCCTCGTCCGCATCCTCCTCCTGTCTCTGGCACTCACGTTATGGCACTTCGTCCTTCCTCTGTTCCATTGCGAGTTCCCCTGCCGCCTCCTTCTGAGTCCTCTCTTCCTTCCGTTCCTTACCCTGAGTCTAACTTAGCTCGTGCTACCAGTCCTACTGTCCCTCGTCTTCTAGCCACTGTTGTCACTGACCCTTTGTTTGAGTCCACTGCTGCGTCTGCCCTAGTTGCTGAGCTTGTTGACTTTGCTGCCGCCTGTCGTCTCGACTATGCCGCTAGTCTTGTTGCTTAGTCTGAGTCTGACTGTCCTTCGTCCGTCGGGGGTGAGTGTGCTCTTCGCACGGACGTCCTTGAGGACAAGGAGGAGGACTTTGAGTGCTTTGCAGCTGCCGTACCTCATCTCGTGGCCATGCTGCTTGCCTTTGAGGGAGACCCGGATGCACCAGACATCCCGACCCCGCGCTCTTACGCAGAGGCAATTACGGGTCCCTACTCCTCTCAGTGGCAGACATCCATGGACGCAGAGATGGCATCTTGGAAGTCCACAGGCACCTACGTCGACGCAGTTCCCCCTTCTGGGGCGAACATAGTAGATGGCATGTGGATTTTCAGGGTGAAGCGGCCGCCGGGTTCTCTGCATGTCTTCAAGGCTCGTTACATTGCAAGAGGCTTTGGTCAGCGACAGGGAGTTGACTTCTTCCAGACCTTCTCCCCTACCCCAAAGATGACCACTCTTCGGGTTCTGCAGCAGGTCGCCGCTCAGCGTGACTACGAGTTGCACTCTCTTGACTTCAGCACAACTTTCTTACAGGGCAACCAGCACGAGAAGATCTGGCTGTGCTGCCCACCTGGCTTCACTGGGTCGTTTCCTGCAGGTACCCAGTGGATCCTCTGGCGGCCAGTCTACGGTCTCCGCCAGGCGCCTCGCGAGTGGCATGACACACTGAGAACGACGCTTGCGGCTCTTGGTTTTTCTCCTTCGACTGCTGACCCGTCGCTGTTTCTGCGCACCGACACTTCGCTACGCCATTCTACCTCCTCGTGTATGTCGACGCCTTGGTCTTTGCCACTGCTGACACTGAGGCACTGGCCCTTATGAAGTCGGAGCTGTAGAAGAGACACACCTGCACTGACCTGGGTGAGCTGCGTAGCTATCTTGGCTTGCTGATCACCCGGGACAGAGCACGGCGCACCATCACACTGACTCAGTCACACATGGTGCACCAGGTCCTTCAGCGCTTCGGCTTCTGGTACTCCTCTCCACAGTCCACTCCTTTGCCTACAGGTCACTCGCTCTCAGCTCCAACTTCGGACGAGTCCGTAGAGCCGAGTGGCCCGTATCCAGAGCTTGTGGGCTGCCTCATGTACCTGATGACCTGCACTCGACCTGACCTTGCCTACCCTCTTGGCATCCTGGCACGCTACGTTGCGCCCAGGAGACACCGACCAGAGCACTGGGAGGCCGCTACGAGGGTGTTGCGCTACTTGTGTAATACGTCGGGCATGGTGCTCGTGCTTGGAGGACGGGGTCCGGTTGTCCTCACTGGACACGGAGACGCTTCTTGGGTTGACGACTTGGCTACGCAGCGGTCGTCACTGGGTTACACTTTCAGCCTTGGCTCCGGCTCTGTTTCTTGGCGGTCTACCCGCTCGTCTTCTGTTCTCAGTTCCAGTTGTGAGGCTGAGATCTACGCAGGGGCCATGGCTGCACAGGAGTTACGCTGGCTCACCTACCTGCTGACCGACTTGGGAGAGCGGCCTCGTTTTTCTCCAGTTCTGTACGTAGACAACAAGGCCATGATTGCCTTGTATCAAGAGCACAGACTGGAACACAGAACAAAGCATATCGCCCTGCGATACTTCCATGCTCGAGAGTTGCAGCAGCGTGGTCAGCTTCGTCTTGCGTACGTGGCCACTAAGGCCAACACTGCTGATATATTCATCAAGGCACTTCAGTCTGGTGAACATCAGCGTTTGTGTACTGTTTTAGGCCTTGTACCTACTTTGCCTCACTTGCTCACTGCGTGACTTTGTTTGTACTGTGATCTATTTATATACCTGCATGCTTATACTTGGTAGGGTATGATCACTGTACTGTTTGTTCTCTTTTATATAACTCTGCATGTGAACTGGCTTTGTGGCCTTTGCTTGTGCTCGGAATGTGTGGTGACTTCGTGATCCACCCTGAGCTTGTTTTGTTCTTCTTGACTGGTCTTGTGACCACTTGTTCTCCCCCACTTTGCCTATGTCATAATGTTATAGTGCTTACTTTGTGTGGGCTATAGTGGGGTAGCCCATAAGGGGTACAACCCAATTAGGGTTAGTACTTGTATCTAACTTCTGTTCAATGCATTTATTCTCGTTCTAGATTCTGATACGCGGCTGCTGCGTTCAGCTGTTGCGGGCGCTAGCCGCGTGCGCTGTTAAAGTTTAGAAGAAAAGAAGAGAAGAAGAGGATTGCACTAGCAAGAATGGGGATACAAATAGGAAACCCTAGAAGGGTTGTACTCGCTATAGAGCACCCCACTACAGGCTAGAGCATAAGATAACATTCTGACACACCCCCATAGCCAAAGTGGGGTGTAATCAGCAGAGCAAGAAAAGCAGTACAAGCTCAGGGTGGATCACAATGTCACCACACATTCTGAGCACAAGTTCAAGAAGGAATAGTTTAAAGGGTACAATTATGAGCAAAGCTAGTGGTAGTCACAACGGGCAAGCGAGGAGGAGGAGAGAGAGTGAGGGGAGAGGAGATAGGAGGCGACGGCTGAAGCTGCAGACACACGGGCAACAGGAGGCAGACTGGCACAGCGGCTACCGGACTAAGCGCCCGGACTACAGGAGTAACAGGCCCCGCGGCTAAAGTAGCGGCAGACGAGCAACGGACCCACGGGCGGCTGGCGTAGAAGTCTACGACTGGGCTACCGGACGAAGTCCCCGGACTACAGGTGCTGCTGGCGACACGACGGCAACCTCCGTGCAACTTCCCCAAACAGTCTCACCCCCCCGACACACACCCGCTGCTACACCGCTAGCTCCACTCCCACGCACCCCCCTTAAACCCTAAACCCCAGTCTCCCACACAACCACCCCCCTCAGCGACAGCTGCAGCAGTGGGAGACGAAGGAGGAGGAGGAGCAAAGGGAGGAATGCACACCGGCCACCCCCATACCCGCCACCCCACAGCTCGCCCCTCCCGTCGCCTGTCGAGGCGACCTGAGGGGGCCGCTTGCGGCCCCCGAAGGAGCCGCGACGGGCGACGGGAAAAGAGGAAACCCGAAGGAGGGGGGGGGGGGGGGGGGGGGGGGGGGGGGGAGGCGGGGCCGGGGCCGGGGCCGCGACAGGTAGGGCGACGGGCCGCACGTAGGGCGGCGAGACGACGGGGCCGCGGCCAGAGGTGGCGGGGCCGTGAAGGAAAGCGGCGGGGCCGCGATGGTGGGGCGGCGGGGCCACGATCGGAGGTGGCGGGGCCGCGACCGGAGGTGGCGGGGCCGCGACCGGAGGTGGCGGGGCCGCGAAGGAAAACGGCGGGGCCGCGAGAGTGGGGCGGCGGGGCCGCGACGGGTCCCCGTCGCCCGTCGCGGCGCCTCCAGAGGGCGACGCGACGAACGACGGGGCAGAAGCCCGTCGCGCGCCTCGGGGCGCACAGCGGGCAGAGAACCGCCGCGCGCCTCGGGGCGCACGGCGGGCAGAAAACCGCCGCGCGCCTCGGGGCGCACGGCGGGCAGAAAACCGCCGCGCGCCTCGGGGCGCACGGCGGGCAGAAAACCGCCGCGCGCCTCGGGGCGCACGGCGGGAAGAAAAACTACCGCACGCCACGGGGCGTGCGGCACAGAGAGTAGCAGTAGCAGTTGCAGCGGAAGCAACAAGGTGGTGAGCCCACCCACAGGATCGATCCAAGGGGATCGACCTGCTCTGATAGCATGTTAAAGTTTAGAAGAAAAGAAGAGAAGAAGAGGATTGCACTAGCAAGAATGGGGATACAAATAGGAAACCCTAGAAGGGTTGTACTCGCTATAGAGCACCCCACTACAGGCTAGAGCATAAGATAACATTCTGACATGCGCGTGGGTCTGTTGCTGCACGTGCGTGGCCTGTGCGTGCGTGGCCTGCAGGCAGTTGTGTGCGTGCGGCAGTGCGTGGGCGTGGGCTAGCATGACGTGGCAGAACGGGCCCGCAGGGGCCTTCCTGAGCGTGACTAAATGGAGCCCGCGGAGGCCTGTGATGTGAAACGCCACTAAACGGGGCCTGCGGGGGCCTGTTAATTGCGGGCCTACGGGCGTGGCATGCAGTGGCGCACTACTGCGGCTACTGCGACGGCCTGCCTAAGCTCAACGGCCTGCCTAAGCGCGTGGGAAAAACGGGGGCCCACGGGGAGGGTGGGGGGGTCTTGAACGCGACTTAAACGAGGCACCCGGGGGCCGTCCTACGCACGACGAAGAGGAGCCTAAGAGACGGGCGCCTGGGGAGAATCTAAGGGAGGGAGCGGAAGCATGGGAGGTAGGAATAGTTACCTACTCTAATACCATCTTAGAATTAGCTACGGTAGTGTCGAGTGAAATGTGGTGAATGAGGGCAAACAAGGAGATACACCTGTCGACCTAGAAAGTGTTGTACCTTTTAGAGGGCAACTCACTGTAGCCTAGAATAACTAACAATATATAGAGGATATAAATATTTGACACAGCAGCCGTGTTGTGTCGTCGAGCGTATGGTTGAACTTCTCAGGCGTCCAGGTGAAACCCTCCACGGAGGGGTGGTGGTAATGCACCTCCACAAAGAGCTCGTCCACTCCGCTCTACGGCCACGGGTGAACATAGAACCCAGCTCTTCTCAAGTCGGTCAACAACCATGTTGTCTCATCAAGGGTGCGGTTGAACTTGTCTGGCGTCCACGTGAAGGCCTCCATGGAGGGGTGGTGGTAATGCACCTCCACAAAGAGCTCGTCCACGATGGCGGGCATGCGCGGGATGGCCAGCCACTCGTGCAGCACGGCCCACTCCACCCCCTCTATGTCCATCTTCACTATCACCGTGTCCTCCTCTCTCAACTGCAGCTCGTCCAGCAGCCATCGAGTCACATTCACCGTGTTCTGTGGAAGGAAAAGGGGGGGAGGATGGGGAATGGGGGGGAGAAGGAGGAATATGGAAAAGGGGTGGCGGGCAGAGGAAGGGAAAAGAAAGAGGAGGGGGGGGAGAGAGGGGGGGGGAGATGAAGAGGAAGAGGGAAGGATTGGGGAAGGAAAGGGAGGTGGAAAAAAGGGGGTGGAGGAAAAATGGGGGGAATGGAAGAGAGGAGTTGGGGGGTGGAAAAGGAGGAGTTAGGAAGTGGGGGGGAGGAGGAAAGGGAGGAGGCGAGGAAAGCGAGTGGTTAGGAAACGGGAAGGAAAAGGAGGAGTTAGGAAGGGGGGAGGAAAGGGAGGAGGGAGGAAAGGGGAGGGGGGGTAGCGGGGAGGAATGGGAGACAGGAGGGATGGGAGGAAGGAGGAAAGGCAAGGGGGAGGGGGACGGGAGAAATTGGGGGAACAGGGGGGAGGAAAGGAGAGGGGTAAGCAAATCAACTCTAGCTTTCAGACGAATCTAAACCCCTTTCGGGAAAAGAGGCAGGCGGGCGGAAGTGGGGGGGGGAGATAAACTGCGGAGCAAGGGTAGGCAAGCTACACTTCAATAGCAAGTCACTTCTATGGCACTTTTGGCATGTATGACACACCTCAGAGAGGCTCTTCCAGGGCTCAATTGAGGTGCCTTTACCTGTTGCTCACGGCAAGGGTGCCTTCTGCGTTCACGTTCTCACATACTGGTTGTTGATTCTTTCTCCTTCGTCTTCCAGGTATAACAAATGTTCATTCCCCTAGGTGGTTACCTCTTCATGGTTCTCCTGGGAAGAGATGAAGAAGTTGTAGGGGTGGACGCGGTCCATTAGCCACGCAGGGAAGCCTGCAGGGCCCCTGCCAAATGGTCGCACGCGAGATTGCGTGTTGATCTCGTATGCTGGTACCTGAAACAGTTAAGAGCAGTGCAGAACAGTAACAAGTGGTTGGGAAGAGTGTGTGTGGCATGAACGAATTATTATGGGGTTATGGCTTTGAGAGCGGTGAAGCCATGAAGCAAAGAAGCATATTATGGAGCAAGGTTCAAAAATACGGTAATCGTAAATTACGGGTCGTAAATTACGGTCGTAATTTACGGTGGTTTTGCCAAAAATACGGTCGTTTTTTTGTTGGACATTTTTTGCAGCAATTGTTTTTTTTCCAGAAACTACTAGAACGCTTACAACGATGACCAGGAAGGCGACAACAAACTACACTACAGAGAAACAAGCCTACAATGGACCACAACACCACTACCATTGCTAAGCCTACCTAGTACCTACCTTTAGGCTAAAACTGCTCCTACTCCCTCCCCACACTCCCAACTCGGGAAAAAAACACACTCGAGTGGATTTGGGCGCACGAAAATTCTCACAAGCAGGGTGACGGTTGGGAATTGTCGAAATTCGCTATACACAAACTCGGTTTCAATTTTTCGGTCGTAATTTACGACCGTATTTTTAAACCAACCTAATTTTGCAAGGTCACACCGTTTTTTACCGTAATTTACGACCGTAAATTACGATTCCGTAATTTACGGTAAATTTTCAAAATACGGTCGTATTTTTGAACCTTGTTATGGAGGGGGGGGAAATACCGGCAGGAGGGGAATATTGAGGGAGAATGGAAAAGGCAGGAAAGGCTGGGGTACGTGGGGACAGACGACGGGATTATGCCCCCACGCTCCGTCAGTTTTTTTAGACCCTGCGCTGGTTTTTCTAACCTGAGCAGCCAAAAGTATTTATAGCATATGTCCCATCCCTCGCAAGCATAGAGGTATGTGCGCTAGCGTGGACATATTAGTGTGTGGAGTATGCTGTCTGCTTGAATTTTCACTCAATAGCTCCCTCTGTCTTTGTTTTCCGAACCCTCCCTCTCCCTCCCAACCAACCCCCTCAACTGCTGTTCACGTAGGAATGTTTCCTTCTTCAAGATGTGTGTAATAATGTGTAAATTTATACTCACCTCAAGCGGCGGTGTAGATGGTTTCTGGAACAGGTCAGTTTCCACTTCCACCGCATGAATCTCGGTGAAATCGAGGGGGTACATTCGAAGGAACCAGGAGACACTTGTATCAAATGTATTGGCTCCGAGGTCTATAAGCACCCTCCGCTTCCTGCGAAATCGCGGAATTTCGGGGACGATGGGGAAGAAAGGGGTTTGATTTATGGCAAGGGGGAAAACCACCAAGCGAGTATTTTGGCGAAAGCGACAGGTGCATTTGAAGAACTCAGGCGACGCAACTGTCGCAAACCTAACCTCCTATCTCCGACATCTTTTGACACCCACCACGTTCTGCGACTTAGGAGGTTCTAGGAGCGAAGAACGGAAGAGACAGTATGGCTTTTTTATTTCGATGATCCACAAAATTAGGTTGCGAGAGCAAGCAAGCCAAGTCTTACGGGATCAAATTTGGAACTAGATTACACGGATTATTTTTCTGTTCAACGGCTAAGGATCCTATAGCATATCGGATTTTGAACCCGCCCATTCCTGCGAATGGGGAGATATATTCGGAGAGAGGACTGCAAGGAGGGAATAAAAGGGAGAAGGAAGGTCTTTCACCTGTTAATCCTCGGACTTTCTTACTAATTACGACCACCTGATTTCATCTAGTCCCGTAACAAAATTACAACGCAGTAACCACCTCGTGTGCAAGCTGGGGTCCATGTTGGCTCTTAGGAACGGTAAGATCTGCGTCTTGTCCTCCACGTCGTCCACGAAGCCCAGGGTCCACCCGCGGCGGAAGTTCAGGTGCGCGTCTAGCTCCTCTATAGGCAGCCCCGCTACAAGACACGGGGAAACGCGGGGTGTCCACTGCGCATTGTGGGTGTAGGCAAAGCGCAGGGGAAGGGACGAGGAGGATGGCATGACTGTTCAGTCGAGCATTGAATGCCGAATGCGTCATGTGCGTTGGAGTTGCTTAGTAGTATGTCCAGTTGGACTGTGTCTGTGCTGGACCCTATCATAGCATGATATCGTCATAGGTCGAGAGAGGGTCCATCCGAGAGGTACCATTTGGGGGAGGATCAGGTTTTGGCACGAAACCGTGCGAGGAGTGGGAAACACGGGGAGGAATGCCGGGGGGGGGGGAGCGTTTTGGTTGGGCGTAACCCAGTAGGGAACAACCTAGTTTGCGAATCGTCGGAACATTTTTCGAGATCCGAAATAACTGTACTAGGAACGTCGACAGCAATGACGATTTCGCGCAATGTCTTTTCGTTAATCCGATAACTGTCGCGAGATTTTCTTACTCCGCGACCCCCGCAAGTATCTGCCAGGAATTGTAAGGCTTCGAGGCGATTAGTACCTTCGTAAAAGCCCACGCATCCTCAACACTGTCTCGCGGCGACAAGCTGCTATCTCCGCCATTTTGCGCTACCGGAGTGACTGTGCTGGTTGATATCCAATCAGAGCACGACTGAGCTGCGGCGCCGCCTCCGGTTCTGCCTCCGTTTGTGATGATTCTTAGCGCTAAGTCGCAGTCGCACGGCGCGCATCGTTGGGGAAGCTGAACGGCAACGAGCGAGAAGGAGCATAGGAGAAGGAGCGTCGAGACTACCGCCCAAGCGAGCGCCACGGGATACGGTACTAGCATCTCGACGTTCTTAATCTGCGATTTCATTGGCGAGTAGTCGTACATCATGCTGGGCGACAGTCATTGCAAATGCTAGACTTGCTTCTTCGATTGATTGAAGCACTAACAGGAGTTGATTGATGAACAATGACTGCACGACGTGACTGCGTCAGGACTTGGGAAGGGTGTCAGTCAAAGGATGCTCGCAAGGCGTGTTGCTGTCAAACAAGCTCGTCCTGGCATTCCAAAGTAGGCTGAGCAAAGCGCCGAGCCGCAGTTCGTCTCGGCGCGGTTCAGTTCGCTACGAACCGAAGCTCAGCCTTGTTTTGTTCATGAGGTTCGCCACGGGCCGAACCGGTTTGTCATCGGACCGGTTCGGCGGTTCGATCGGCTCGGTTTTTTGCTTTCATTTAGGGGCACAGAGGGGCGGGGAGGGGTTGCGAAAGGTCAAGAGAGGCTAAAATGGCTGGTGCGGTTCGTCTGGGTTCGGTAATCCTTCTATAGTACCGAACCTCGAACCGGCTTGAGACCAGATCGGTTCGGGATGAACCGGTTCGGTTTGTTCACGAACCGGTTCGGTGGATGCGCTATGTGTGTCCGAACCGGTTCGGTTCGGTACTTTGCTCATGCCTATTCCAAAGGCGATCTGTGGTTGGAAGTGCGAGCGTGCGGCAGCCTCACGACGAGCATTCTCGCCAAAGCATCAGTTCGTCGGCATTCCTGGGATGAATTTCGTCCACAGGATTTTGGTGGGCTGGATGTATCCGTGCTTATCGCCCTCAGGGAATGACGTCTTTGCGGTTGCGGTGCAAAACGGTGGACTTCAAACAATTCGTTCCACCGTGCGGTATCGTTGAGAGCCACGAAGAAACGAACTGTAGGCAGTAGGTGTGGAGTACAGCCATGAAGAGCAATGCGTTGGACTTGTGGTTGTGGTGTGGATGAGGAAAAGGGTGCATCAATCCACCTCATGTTGTTGGATGGTTTCTTGGCTAGTCTTGGAACTCGATAAGGACAGACCCATAGGCTTCACAAAAGAGACAGCATTCCCAATCTGTTTAATTCAAAAAGACGGACTACAGTTTACTGAAAGCACACGATTCAGCTGACAATGCTACGTATTATTTGTGAATGAATGCTCATTGGTATAACAATAAAACCTTAAGTATTCCAATCCAATCCCCTGCGGATTGTCGGACAGTTTGGGCGATTCTGGTGGCGAGATTTTTACCATGTGTCACACATGCACTGTTTCCGTTTGCGACACAGGCCGTTCTGTCAGAAACAGGCATTACAGTAAATCGTGGAACCCATATTCGGATAAACCACGGGGTTCCAGAAATGTACCTCTGGTTTCTGAAACTCATGGAAACCTGAGAGTCGTCACTAATGGTGTTGGAGTAAGCAAGATCCTTATCCTAACAAATGGTACCTCTTGGTGAGAAGAAGTCCAATAGGTGTCAAACCACACTCACCAACCAGCCACACCACAAACATTAATCCATTCATGCTACTGCTTCAATTGCCCTCTCTTCCACAGCATCCATGCCAGCTATTTCAAGAATCCGAAGCCGAGTCAATTCCTGGCAACGTGAAGCCACCGCACAGATACTCAGAGTTGGTGTGAGAGAGGTGAAAGGCAGAAATGAAACAACCTGGGGTAAAGTTGTGACGACTAGCATATAGATTGGACACTGGCATTGCTCTAGCTGCTATGGAGTGCAACAGTGATGACGTGGCACCAGGTATTGCAACATGCAGATGCCTGGGAGGGACAAAATGTGATAATGATGAAAGTGTGCTAAAAACGGGATACCGTCAGGAGCAAGAACAGCATTTGCATTTCCGCACTTGCATCACCCCGCCAACACACTTCCTGCTCCACCACAGTCACGAACAACGTGCATCTCTAACAGCCGCCTGCTTGTAGTCATCCCAGCCAATCGCTCAGCACATTCACTTATCAGTGACCGTTAGTGCAGCCATAATGACTCCTCGTCTCCCTAACACTACCATTCTAAAATCATCCCAGTCAACCACTCAGCCTCACAGCACACTCACCTGTCGGTGACCATTGGTGCGGCGGTAGTTCTTTCTCCTCTTCTTCTTGAACACTATCACCTTGGCGTCAAGAGCCTGGGGACAAGCATCAGGGTTTGAAATAGCAGGGAGGATTTGTATTTAGAGATGCATAAGACATACAATCGTTCTTTCTCCTCTTCTTCTTGAACACTATCACCTTGGCGTCAAGAGCCTGGGGACAAGCATCAGGGTTTGAAATAGCAGGGAGGAATTGTATTTCGAGATGCATAAGACATACAATCGTTCTTTCTCCTCTTCTTCTTGAACACTATCACCTTGGCGTCAAGAGCCTGGAAGCATCAGGTTTTAAACAGCAGGGAGGGAATGTATATTTGAGACGCCTAAGCATACAATCGTTCTCCGCCTTCGTTTTCTTGAACACACAGAAGTTGGCATCGAGCCCCAAGAGAAAAATGGGTAAAGAAATTGGATTGGCTACCCAATATGAGAAGAGACATTCTATACAAATGCTGTGAAGCTCAAATCAGGCATGGGGTTCAAAGTCTTAAGTGACGATCCATGACCATTCAGGAACTGCCTAGGAAAAAAAAAACAAAAAAACAAAACAAAACGTCACATCGTAGTGTTAGAATGTCAACGAGGATGTGACTCAGGCTTAGCGTGTCAATCAGAATGACATCTAGGACAGGGGAGTGGAACTCACATGCTCTTCCACCAGGGCTGAAACAAAGGCGCCTGGGAGAGTGGGCCGCCCAATAAGAGATTCGGAAGGAGAGCCAATCAGAAGCACCTTCTCCAAATGAACCTGACGGATGGGATTGCTCGAAGATGGACCGAGAAGAGGTGATAAGTTGACAAGAACTACTGACACATACGTGGAGATATGTAACTAATGCAATGTTCGTTTCTACTATACAGTGCGCACCGGAACAAGCTATGTTCCTCTCGTATCGCACATTATCTCCATTGCACAAAACTTGGGAACTTATGAGAACCAAATCTTTCACACGCGCACTGCAGCACCATGCATTGCAGCACGGAACCTGATGGTGCAATGGTAAATGCCTTCCGCACTGAATCTGACCATACCGCACCACATCTCCTCTCACTGCAACACACTCATACGCGTGCCATCATTGCCATGTGCAAGCAAACCCATATGCAGCACATTGTAAACACAGGCACCGCACCGAACTTGCAAGCAACGCATTCAACCCATTCTCACCACGTCGTTCACATGGGCGAAGTTGAGCTTTTCCACGTAGATGGCATCTCCTGGCGTCACCTTGAACTGGTGCGACCCCACCTGATTGAACAATGTGCCACGTGTGCAAACGTGACACGTCAGCAAATAGACAGTGTTAAAAAAAGGTCTGATGCGGCTGCACTACAACATGGAGTCAAATAAAAAGGAGCATTAAGAAAAGCTTGGGAAAAACAGGTAGTTTGGGGGCCTTAAGAGTTCAAGAGCATCGAAGTTAAGGTCAGAAAATGAGGGGCTTCAAAATAGTTTGGGGGAAACCAGGGGAGTGGGTGAACGGGTGGGTGTCTTAATTCGGAGATAGAGTAAGGAACAAAAGAGTGTCTCAGAGTGATGGTGGCGGAAGGGGATGGGGAGGGGACAGGAAGGCTGGCGTGGAGGGAGGCGGGGAGAGGGGTTGGGGGGAGAGGAGGAAGAGGAGGGAACATGGGGGGGAGCGGATGGAGGAGTGACTATTGGTGGATAATGGCGATGTGGTTGGTTGTTGTGTTTGGCTGAGGGAGAGAGGAAGAGGGCGGGAAGGGGGGGACAGAGGGGGATGAGAGAAGGGAAGGGGAGGGGAGGGAGGGAGAGAAGCACGGAAAATGGGGGGAGGGGGGGAAATTGGTGGGCGGGAGGGGGGGAAATTGGTGGGCGGGAGGGGGGGAAATTGGTGGGCGGGAGGGGGGGAAATTGGTGGGCGGGAGGGGGGTAAGGGTGGGAAGGAAAGGGAGGCAAAGCTTGAACGATGGGTTTCACTGCAAAGGCTCCACTCCTCCCCTGCACGATTGGTTGGGTGGTTGGGTGGTGCGGGGCTCTACCAAGGTTCAAAAATACGGTAATCGTAAATTACGGGTCGTAAATTACGGTCGTAATTTACGGTGGTTTTGCCAAAAATACGGTCGTTTTTTTGTTGGACATTTTTTGCAGCAATTGTTTTTTTTCCAGAAACTACTAGAACGCTTACAACGATGACCAGGAAGGCGACAACAAACTACACTACAGAGAAACAAGCCTACAATGGACCACAACACCACTACCATTGCTAAGCCTACCTAGTACCTACCTTTAGGCTAAAACTGCTCCTACTCCCTCCCCACACTCCCAACTCGGGAAAAAAACACACTCGAGTGGATTTGGGCGCACGAAAATTCTCACAAGCAGGGTGACGGTTGGGAAATGTCGAAATTCGCTATACACAAACTCGGTTTCAAAATTTCGGTCGTAATTTACGACCGTATTTTTAAACCAACCTAATTTTGCAAGGTCACCGTTTTTTACCGTAATTTACGACCGTAAATTACGATTCCGTAATTTACGGTAAATTTTCAAAAATACGGTCGTATTTTTTAACCTTGGGCTCTACTGTGAACGTTCGGTGGCGCCTCTGCTTTCGCTGCAACGGCTCTACTCTACTCCCCTACACCGCGCTTCAACGATTTACACCCATCAACGACTCAACCACATCGTCGTCTCACACCCAATCACCGTCTCACACCCAATCACCGTCTCACACCCAATCACCGTCTCACACCCATCATCACAGTCTCACACCCATCATCACCGTCTCACACCCATCATCACAGTCTCAGGGCGTATCTCAGTTCGGGTCATGGGCACAGTTTGGGTCATCCGAGATTCTTGTACGACCAATAAAGCGCAGTTTAGCTACACTACTGGAATATCATTGGTCCTCCCATGACCCAAAGTGGCCTTATGACCCGAACTGAGATACGCCCTCACACCCATCATCACAGTCTCACACCCATCATCACCGTCTCACACCGGCGACACCCACTCACCTGAACCACTGCAAACGCGTCTAGCTCCTTGATCTCCACCCCCGCCACTTCGCTGACGTCACTCCCCCCCTCCTGCGCCGCTCCCCCCGCCGCCGCCCCTCTGAAGCGCGCCGATGCGGGCTCCGCCACGCGGTACCCGATCTCCGCCGCGTTTTCCTTCCGCCATTGCCCCAGGAACGACAGCGCAAACCCTTCCCGCGGGGCACTGGGGCCACTTGCTTCCGCGACAGTAACATCCGCGGTATTAGCAACTGCGCTAGCGTTGAGTTGGCCAGATGTGTGAGCTTGGGGTGCGAACGGCACCTGTGCGTGCAGCGAGCGAGGCCATAACGAGGAATTCACATGAAGAGAAGGACCGGGCGGTGTGACAAGCGACGACCGCTTGACTGGCAATAGTGAGTGCGACAGTGCGTGCGACGGTGCGTGCGACGATGCGTGCGACGGTGTATGCGACAGTGTTAGCGAACTTCTCTCCGACGGCAACGTCGCAGTGGCACCAACAGGTTCTAGGCCTGGACGAGAGTGCGAAGCACTGTACAGCTGCGAAGGGCATTGGTGAAGATGCGACGCGGCGAAAACGAGGCGAGATCGCGATGCGGAGAACCTCTGAAACGATTCAACGGATAACTGCGGATCCGCGGAGTCTCGGCATCGGCGCGTGTGGCTGCTGCAGGCACGGCCCGCCGCGAATACCGCTCGCCGCATGGCGGAACGGAACAGGGAGGTGCAACAGAGGAATTCGTGGAAGCGCGTTCAGAGTGTACTAACTAAAAGCATGAAAGCAGCACGGAAAATAGGTTTGGGCGTGGTCGTACGCGGTAAAGTCCGTTGCATGGAAGTTCCTGAGAGAAATGCAAACCTAAATATGGCAAAAAAATAAAACTCCCTACACTAAAATAAACCAAAAAAAAAAAAAAAAAAACACACACACACACACACACGCACGCACACACACGCACACATACACACACATACACACACACACACAAAAACATGACATTGAAACCCATTCACTATCCATCTAAATAGCATTTTTTTTTCTGACCCGCTCCCCAAGCACGTACCATCAGGACAGGCCCCCAGAAGTCAGGGAAATTTCTCTGATTTACCTAAAAAACTCTGATATTTCAGCCTTTTGTTTTAGTGGACTCTGAAACTTCAGCCTTTTTTTGTGTGCGAACTCCGAAAAAGCATATTTTTTTTTAGGCCTACTCTGATATTTCAGCTTTTTTTCGAGAGTGTACGCTGATCCTTCAGACAAAAAACGCGACCTACTCTGATTTTACAGTAACAGTCAAGTTCTGGACCGCGACGCCGCGTTGCGGCGCGGTTATCACCCCGTTAACACCAGCGCATACCAATTTCCATCGATGATTGGTCATGTAGGCAACTTTTGACAGCAAACAAGCTCTCAACCAGTACCCACGTTGCTGCTCTGGCCAGCAACATGACACTGCACACAGCAGTGCACTTCAGCTGCGCTGCGACTCGTCGTTGCGGTGCATGCTAGGCAATCACCCACCTGCTGGATGTTAGCGAGTGTCAAAGACCCTTGGTTATTGATGCTTTCTTTCACCCACGTGCTTCACCTCACCATCTCCAGTGCTTGTTTGAGCTCTGGCTACCAACCCTTTTCTGCTTGGCAAGCTCTCTAGTCCCGCCATGGCTGTTCAGAACGAGACGATGCACCCGTCACCAATGACGATGACGATGGCTGTCACGCTGACGGTGGCGTGTGGGATGATGCTGGAACGGGCCTAATTTTTTTCGCTTAGCTTAATAGCACACGAGAAAACGCATCGTGTTGGTTCCGCCAAGCACACTGTCGATCAAACCAGAGCCACTATTCCTACGACTCAAGCAGGCGAGAATAAAGTCGGCACAACCCATCGAAGATGTCTACAATGATGCTATTTAAAAGTACAAGTCTCGGTGGTCCACTCGATTTCCTTTGCTTGTACTAACAAAAGGTGCAGACAAGCGCGGGAGGCACGGGAAAGGTGCAACTTACGTGCTGCAGACCCAGTCCATCCGTAAGCACGCCGGTGACCAGAGGCACAAGGAGGCGATGGTGAAGTTCACCACGCTCGTCGACTGCAGGACAAGGCAGCCTACAACGAGCTACGGTACTGTCTACACTGGAGATCATGCACCTGACAGCGATAATGATGCATGTCTTTGAGTAGGGTACAATAGATGATATATGCTAGGATGTAATGTAATGTGCCTTTGAAACCATGAGACCACCAAGGCCAACATCAGATCTTGCAAACACCATCAGACTTTTCATTTGTGTCGACTTTGAATGATCAGACTTTTTTTTTAGTGGACTCTCAAATTTGAGTTTTTTTTTTTTTTTTTACCAAGTCTGATTGATCAGACTAAAATCTTGTACTAAGTCTGAGAAATCAGACAGCTCAAAAACAAATCTGAAGGCCTGCATCAGGGGGACTTGTCAGAATAGTGAACGAGAATGAATGCATTGAGCAGAAAGTTGGTACAAGTACTAACCCTAATTCGGTTGTACCCCTTATGGGCTACCCCACTACAGCCTACACAAAGTAAGCAATATAACATTCTAACACACCCCCATAGGCAAAGTGGGGGAGAACAAGTGGTCACACGACCAGTCAAGAAAAGCAAAGCAAGCTCAGGGTGGATCACGAAGTCACCACACATTCCGAGCACAAGCAAATGGCCACAAGGCCAGTTCACATGCAGAGTTAGATAAAAGAGAACAAACAGTACAGTGATCATAACCTAGCAAGTGTAAGCATGCAGGTATATATATAGATCACAATACAAGCAAATTCACGAAGTGAGTAAGTGAGGCAAAATAGGCACAAGGCCTAAAACAGTACAGAAACGCTGATGATCACCAGGCTGAAGTGCCTTGGTGAATATATCAGCAGTGTTGGCCCGAGTGGCCACGTAAGCAAGACGAAGCTGGACCACGCTGCTGCAACTCTCGAGCAAGGAAGTAACGCAGAGCGATGCGCTTCGTTCTGTGCTCCAGTCTGTACTCCTGACACAAGGAAATCATGGCCTTGTTGTCTACGTACAGAATTGGAGGAGAACGAGGCCGCTCTCCCAAGTCGGTCAATAGGTAGGTGAGCCAACGTAACTCTTGTGCAGCCATGGCCCCTGCGTAGATCTCAACCTCACAGCTTGAACTGAGAACAAAAGACGAGCGGGTAGACCGCCAAGAAATAGAGCCGGAGCCAAGGCTCAAAGTGTAACCCTGTGACGAACGCTACGTAGCCAAGTCATCAACCCAAGAAGCGTCTCCGTGTCCAGTGAGGACAACCGGACCCCGTCCTCCAAGCACGAGCACCATGCCCGACGTATTACACAAGTAGCGCAACACCCTATTAGCGGCCTCCCACTGCTCTGGTCGGTGTCTCCCGGGCGCAACGTAGCGTGCCAGGATGCTAAGAGGGTAGGCAAGGTCAGGTCGAGTGCAGGTCATCAGATACATGAGGTAGCCCACAAGCTCTGGATACGGGCCACTCGGCTCTACGGACTCGTCCGAAGGTGGAGCTGAGAGCGAGTGACTGGTAGGCAGAGGAGTGGACTGTGGCGAGGAGTACCGGAAGCCGAAGCGCTGAAGGACCTGGTGCACCATGTGTGACTGAGTCAGGGTGATGGTGCGCCGTGCTCTGTCCTGGGTGATATGCAAGCCAAGATAGCTGTGCAGCTCACCCAGGTCAGTGCAGGTGTGTCTCTTTTGCAGCTCCGACTTCACAAGGGCCAATGCCTCAGTGTCAGCAGTGGCAAAAACCAAGTCGTCGATGTACACGAGGACGTAGAACGGCAGCAGCGAAGTGTTGGTGCGCAGAAACAGCGACGGGTCAGCAGTCGAAGGAGCAAACCCAAGAGCCGCAAGCGTCGTCCTCAGTGTGTCGTGCCACTCGCGAGGCGCCTGGCAAAGACCGTAGACTGGCCGCCGGAGGCTCCACTGGGTACCTGCAGGAAACG